AGTACGTCTATATACGTCCACACTGCGTTCTACACGTTTCCACCACGCTCTTAGAGCGTAGTACGAGCGTAGTGAGATCGGGGCCCTGGTGTGACTGGGGTATAAGGAGCGAGGGTGCTCTTACTACTTCAAGTAGTACTTAATCTAAGTTAGACTTAGACCTAAACAACAACCATCAATCGCATTGAATATAGGCTATAGGCATTGCACTTTGCAGTGCAAGAGACAGTGGCACAGTGCTAGTTAGCTCTAGTACTATAGCCCGCGTACAGTTGCCACAGGGCTATAGGACATTCTATTACAAATGCTAGGGACCAACCCGCTGACTGGCGCTGCTGCAGTGCCGCCAAAAATGGCCGTTTGAAGTTCGCAAATCTAATGTTCGTTCACAAGAAATACCGCAAGCAGACCATTTCAACGATAATTAGAGGTTAAATTTTAGTTGCGGATATAACTTAAGACATATTCACCTCGCATAAGAGGCATTAATTGTCTATCACAGACGTTTTATAGCCGCAAGTAACCGTTACTAAGTTGGTCCCGAGCATCCGTAATAGAAGATCCTATATAGCCCTGCGGCAACTGCACGCGCGCTATACTACTACTAGTACTAGTAGTAGTACTACTAGCTAATATAATATAGCTAATATAGCTAATATAATACGATATAATATTATATTTATATTGATGTAAATGACATTGGTTTTATTGGGACCCATGTTCTCTATCCTTGAACCAGTACAGTAGGAGCAGTATAACTGGGTTAATTGTTAAATCTGGGGGGTGGGAACGTCACGTTACTCGTTAGGTCGTTAGCCAATAAATAATAATGTTCAATACAATAAGAATCGACAAGTTTAATAAGTAAAGTAAGGAGTGGGGGTGCTCTTAGTAGTAGTACTTAATCTTAGTTAGGCTAACATTTCTAAAATAAAGTCTAAACAACAACAATCAATCACATTGAATCACTCATCATTCACTGATTGAATAATGCTTAATAAAAATATATGCCTAGATATGTAGTTTAGATTTGTCAAATACCTCTATTTACACATTACATAAGACTCTGACACAATGAGCTTGTAGCATGTGCTGTGGCAGTGATGTACGTCAACGCTATATATATTGTTACGGAATAGGCGTACAAGTATAATGCAGAAATTTTCTTATCACTCGGACTCCGCCATCCCGATTACTTTCGCGCATGCGCACACCAACGATAGAGATCGATAGGTTCTGTTTCCGTATGTGCATCCGGTGTAACGCGTAGACTTGTACCCGTCCCTTTTTACAAGCTCGATATAGCTGAGTAGCTCCTATATCGAGCTTGTGAGAAGGGACGGGTACTAGTGTAAGCTTTTCGTTCCGCGTGAAAGTTGAATGTTGTCATTTATGTCAGAATGACGAAAGAGTTAGCTTTACTGGAGTATGAGCGACATATTTTTTCTCAATTATTGGAAGAAAATGGCCTTGTTGTGATGGCTAGGTCAGTACTGACACACTAGTCATAGCACTCTGTTGTTGTAGTCGTGACTTGGGCCCTAGGCCCCTACTAGTACTATACTGTGCAGTGTGCGTCTAAACAGAGGAATTGCTCCGACCTGTGATTGGAGGATAAAAATAGACCCCTCCCACTCCCGCCGCATACGCTATTAATAATTATTATGGCTTTTTATGTTATGACCGATAGGAACGTGTACTAACTATCATAATCATATGGAGCGAACGATTTGAGTTACATTTCTATAAATTCTAGCGACTAGATTCTAGTATTATAGTAATATAGACACATGTCTTAGCCTTAATCTCTGTGAATTTTGAGTTTATTGAAGCGCAATTAGTCTAATTATTTAGCAAATATGCAAGCGCGGCTATGGTCGGTGAAACGAAACGTGGGGCCACGAATTCTATTTTTATCCTCCAATCACAGGTCGGAGCAATTCCTCTGTCTAGACGCATGTCTTACTATGCAGCCTGTGACATACGTCGTAGACTGTCTCCGCAGTTGGATTTTTGCACCAGGGAGAAATACACATTTTACATATTTGCTTATTTATCATATGTCATGTACTATTTTCAATAATCCTGAATAGCCGAACTCATAGAGCACGGACATCACGTCTGAAAGGTCGTTGACGTTGGTTCGAATCCCAACTGTTTAGTTTATTTTTATTTGTTATTTGTTATTTTTCTGTTTAGGCCAGGGTTAGGGTCACTCACAATGCGTATACATGTGTACACATGTGTATTATGGACCCAAGCGATCCCGAAGTTGCGCCCCTACTACCGTTCGGCCATTTCCGGAAAAATGTGTATTTCTCCCCGGTACACGATTCCCGCAGTTGCGGCTGTACATTATCACATGACTTAATGAGGTCGTCTAGGTCAGATTATAACGTACTGTATTGTGACTATTGACTATTGTATTGAGTAGTGGAGTCAGTGTAGACTGACAGTAGTAGAGTGTGGTGTGTTTGGCAGGGTTCTCAATAGTACGATAGGGTTTTCAGAATTCGTGTCGATTATAAGCCTCATCGGTATCACCAATCGGAACAGCAATGCATCATGGGATAGGAAAAGGGGCATTACTAGCGCCGCCGCCGTCACGAGCGGTTAGCAGCCGGCTGCACGCAATAGGCGTCAGTATGCATGCGCGATACCGTTCGCATATATTTGGTAATTAATTAGACTAATCGTGCTTCAACAAACTGAAAATTCACAGAGATTATAGCTTAAAGATATACACGTGTGTTTATATTTATCTAGATTTCTAGAAATGTAACTGGATCTGGATTTCGATAATAACGCAGGGAGGTGTGTGCTTAGATGTTGTCATCAGCGGGAGTGGAACAGATAAGGTCTATCTCGGCCTCAGTACGCTGGTTCCACTGTTGAATAGTTCTTGGAAAGAAGGAATGGCAAAACTCTTTGGTGTTGACTCCCACTGTCTGAAGTTTCTGACTGTTCTTACTGCGTGTTCGCTGGGGTCCAGGTTTGGTATACTGATCTGCTGGTACCGCCACTGAAGAAGACATTATCTTCTTCATGAATGCTATGCGCTGATCGCTCTGCCGCTGGGCTAGAGAAGGCCAATTCAGAGTTCATAGCATTTCAGTAACGCTACTGTCACGCCGGTAGTCTCTACATACGAACCTGGCTGTCCTTCTCTGAACTTTTTCCAACTTATCAATGTTTTTGACCAGGAATGGATCCCAAACAATAGATGCGAATTCCAATTTTGAGCGAACTAATGACTTATATGCAACCTCTTTGAGTGTTTTTGGAGCAAATTTCAAGTTGCGGCGTAGAAAACCGAGCGTGCTGTTGGCCTTTGCGCAAATCGCACTGATGTGGTCGTCCAATTTTAGGTTGAAGGAGAAGTTCAGGCCGAGGTACTTAGTGGTGGTCACTTCCTCTAAGATATGCTTATCCAACTCGTAGAAGAAGGAAAATGGAGTACCAGCTCATCGATGGATCCGGAGTATGTTACACTTCTTTGTGTGAATCGCATGCCCCAAGTTGATGCCCAGTCGTGAAGGCATTCCAGGTCTCGCTGGAGCTCTATCTGGTCAGCGATCGATCGAATCTCTCGGTATAGATCAGGCAGTCGTCGGCGAATAGCCTCACTTGAGATACTACGGCATCAGGAATTTCATTAATGTGGAGTAAGAAGAGTAGAGGGCCCAAGACAGTGCCTTGAAGTACACCAGACTCCACCTTCATCTTATCCGATGACACTCCATCAATGACGACTTGTTGGGTCCGGTCGCTGAGAAACTCCTTGATCCATGTTAAGCTTATGTCCCTGATGCCGTACTGATGTAATTTCTTCATGAGTCGCAGGTGGGGTACGGTGTCAAAAGCTTTACTAAAGTCTAATACTGCAACATCTACCTGAACCTTACGATCAAAGGAACTCAAGAAGTCGTGGGTGGTCATCAGAAGCTGAGAAGCGCATGAGTGAAGCTTACGGACGCCATGCTGGTAGGCTGAGAGGATCGTATAGCGATCAAGGTGGTCCATGATATGGCGGCTTACGTTAATGACACTGGTCGGTAATTCTCACTGACATTCCGGTCACCTTTCTTGAATACTGGGGTAACCCTGGCTTCCTTCCAATCTGCTGGTAGTTCACCACGCTCATAGGATTGTTGGAATATTGCAGTGAGTATTGGGGCAATCTCATGGGCTGCTTCGTTGAGTAGCCTATCAGCAATGTTGTCTGGGCCACTGGCCTTCGACGGATTTAGACGTTGAAGTAACAACTCGACTCCATGGACGCTTATCACAAGGTCTAACATAGCTGGGTATGTTTCACCACTTGGTGACGGAACGTTCTCTGTGTCCTCCTATCATATCGTATCCTTGTATCATATCCTAACTCAACTCGTTCGCTAGATATGATAGTTAGTACCCTTTCTTATCGCCCATAGCCGTGCGTATACATAGCCGGCTGCACGCAATTATGCATAGGTGCCTATGCGCGATACCGTTCGCATATATTTGGTAATTAATTTGACTAATCGTGCTTCAACAAACTGAAAATTCACAGAGATTATAGCTAAGCCATGTGTTTATATTCATCTAGATTTCTAGAGATGTAACTCAACTCGTTTGTGAGATATGATAGTTAGTACCCTTTCCTATCGCCCATAGCCGTGCGTTTAGCAATAGGCGCCTATGCGCGATATCGTTCGCATATATTTGGTAATTAATTAGACTAATCGTGCTTCAACAAACTGAAAATTCACAGAGATTATAGCTAAGCCATGTGTTTATATTCATCTAAATTTCTAGAAATGTAACTCGACTCATTCGCGAGATATGATAGTTAGTACCCTTTCCTATCGCCCATAGTCGTGCGTTTAGCCGGCTACACGCAATAGGCGCCTATGCACGATACTGCTCGCATATATTTGGTAATTAATTAGACTAATCGTGCTTCAACAAACTGAAAATTCACAGAGATTATAGCTAAGACATGTGTCTATTTTCCTCTAGATTTCTAGAAATGTAACTCAACTCGTTCGCGAGATATGATGGTTAGTACCCTTTCCTATCACCCATAGCCGTGCGTATATTACCTATGGGCGCCGATCGATGCCCCCTTTTCCATCCCATCATGCTTTGCAGTGGTGCGCCATCTGGTGATATTTACTGATTAGCAATAAGGTCTATGGGCAGATCACTCGGATCACAGATGGAGGAGTCCCTGTAGTGCATGTCGAATAAGCAATTAAGGCATGGCTGATGTCAGGATTTATTGAATGTCGCAGATAATGAGCTCGAGCTTTGAAGGCATATGTTAACCCCGATGTGCATTTAAAGCTAGGATTTCTCATGTTTTTATCAACCGTTTTCATATTTTCTCAACCGTTCTGATACTTACTGCCGGTACTCGGTCCTTGCATAACACCAAATGTATATATACTAGTAAAGCTAACGTGTCATAGAACAATCGCACAACATTTTTTAACTAATAATGCGCACCGGCCTGCATTTCAAAGTAGGTTGTTTACATACGTCAACAAACCTAGCACGTGATTTTTGCTCTTGCGAGACCGAGACCCTGTCACTATAGGTTAAAATTATCTTTGTATACATATTGAGATAGGTTCCATGTATGCGGTCCATAAATATTTGCGTGACGTAACTAGGTGCGTTTGTTACGAGGGACCGTTTGAACATTCCATTATCGTGATTCTGAAGATGGCGGGCGCACGTTTGCTGTTCATCTGCTGTTTTATAGCCTATAATAACAGGAACTCGTAATAATTTTTATGCTGAGTAAATAAGTAATATTTACGCTGACAAGTGAGTCTAGATTTGTCTAAATTTATTTTTTTTGTTTATTTGAGAAATGATCATTTAAATTCTGTAGAGAACCCTGGTTAGGTATAGTAGTCTGTGTACTATTTTGTGTAGTGTATACAGTAATCGTACATCATGTCATGTAACTTGTAAAACATCTAGATTAAACGTTTTTATTTTGTCTTTGAAGACTTCGAGTTTACCTGTACGCACTGACCCTGTGCCTAGAATTGAATTATTGCTGCCAGTGCCTTAGGGTATAGCCCTCATGCAGTGCTTATAGGCTGTGCAACATTCGCTAGCGAGTTACTAGCTCTACCCGTATAGGTGTTTGATTCTGCTGCAGGGCTATACGACTCACAGTGCTGGAGAATTGTAATGAATCTTTGCAGCATAGCATGTAATACAATCAAAAATATGCTAGCCGGTCACATGAAGGTTTTGTCTTTTGCCAGCCACTCTCAGATCCAATTCAACTTAACGTAATTTGTCCAGATTGGACCTTTTTTCGAACACAAATAAACCAAAAACGCATACGAGGCCATGTCTGATTTAAAGGGATAGCTGTACCTGTGTAGTATACCCCACCATACTGCAAAATGCTGCTGGGTTCATATATAGAACGATCTATAGCCATATAGCTAAAAGAATCGCTACATGGGTAGAGTTAGATAGAGTGCTATTAAATTTATTATTATTAATTACTACTGATTAGCTCAGTATTGTGTGCAAATAACAATTAACTAACACATATAAAATCATTTTCATAGGGGCCTCGGCATTGACAGAATCTTCACTAGTTTCCTTCAGTTGTATTGCACTGATCCAGGAATGCTTGTACTCGTACTAAATACCACAAGTCAAGATGAGGTATTATAAATTAAATCCGTGTGTTTTTGGTATGTGTAATAACTGTTCACCACCTTTCAAGCATAAGCATGTGGCCTCCATGCTCTGCATCAAAAGTGTTATTTTAATGTAATGTAAACTAATTTAATGTAAAGCAGAAGCATGCCACGTATAGTTCTAAAACTATGGGTTTCTGTGGCAACATGTCATGATAACGGGCACTTGTAAGTTTTATGACAATGGATTCATGAAATTTTAATACATTAGTGTTTCTAACAGGAGTATTTTCAAGGCAAGTTGGAATTGGCAGACATAACCCCCTTACCCAGAAGTGTGACGAGTGGTATCAGCATTGAGGAAAGGTGAGAATGTCAATGCTACTACTAAAATGTGTGGCTTGCATGTAACCATTTGCCCGTAGCTGTAAACTTGAAAATGTTAGCATAACGTACTCTCCTTGCAATGTGATTTGTTTGTTCCTAAATGATCTGTATTGAACTCGGTGAGTTCTACACACACACAGTTATGTATCTAATGGAAAGTTACTAAGTCAGAAAGTTAGGTAGAGATATCCCATGTATTGATAATGCTTTGATAACAATTCTGCCTGTCAGTCAGTTATGATGACATCAGTAAGGCAATAATTGCTATACTTTTTTGCCATTGCAGAAGGAAGATGTACACGGAAGGGGGTACTTTCTTCATTACTTCTCGCATACTCGTTGTTGACATGCTGACAGAGAAGATACCTATTGACCTTGTTACAGGAATATTGGTCTATCGTGCACACAAGTAAGACATCTCATTATATGAATAAATATCAAGTTTATAGTAAACGAGGACAACGTGTGTGATAAGATTTAGCTTTACCTCGCTTATTAGGTATATACGTGGTGAGTGTTATCAGTGTTGTATTCCTGCCCTCATGCATGTGGTTTATAAATGGATTGACTGTCGTTACCTACAGTAAGGATATGTTGTCCATTCCAGAGTTGTGGAATCGTGTCAAGAAGCGTTTATCCTCCGGCTCTACAGAGAAAAGAATAAAGTATGGCTATATATTTTGAATTTTGCACACGCATTTCAAATCGGCTGCTGTGATTATGTGGCTTCTTACTTATTCGTCCATTGAGTAATACAACAGCAGTAGCATTGCATGAACTGTTAAGCATTTTCTCAGAGGGTGTCTTTGTAGACTAGTGCTTTCATGTTGTGAACAGTACATTGTTAATGCAGAGCCAGGTTCACACTCGTGTGTCATTCATCACTAACTTTCACATGAAATTTCCGACAGACCGGATTCATCAAGGCATTCACGGATGCGTCTGAGTCCTTCACACATGGCTTTGCTCAGGCAGAACGCGTTCTCAAGACCCTGTTCGTCAGAAATCTTTATCTGTGGCCGAGATTCCAAGCTGATGTGTTAGACTTCCTAGAGAAGGAGAATCGCAAGGTGGGTACCTCGAGGGGCGACGCGTTTGGCGCCGTTGCTTGCACGTTTACCCACGCAGCTGGCGACGTGACGGGGACGCGAGCATTGCGAGAAAAAAAGAATGAGGACGTTTTTTTGAAATTCTTATTTTAATTAGCCGGATGTCGTCGAGCTTCACGTTTCCATGACAACAGAGATGAAGGCAGTGCAGATGGCGCTTCTGGACATCATTGCCGCGTGCATCAGGGAACTTCGCACTGCTAACACCCAGGTGAGATCCCCTGGGCTGCCATCAGTGTCTGTGTATACTCGTCACCGGAACACCCTCTGGATGGCCCGGGGAAACCTTCATGCTATCTGACTGAAAGATTTAAGAAGCCTGGCAGATTTTATCTTTCAAACCAATATGTCATGACGAATGTTCCCCGCGCAGATTTCTGTTGCTGTCAAAAGTCATTAGCAAAAAAGCAAACACGCTAAAAATGTGCAGTAGATATTTCGTGACAAGTGTGCAGAACATAAGATGAGGTTATCAGAACAACGATTAGTTCTAAGATTCTTCTTTGGCTTAACTTCTTGTCTTAAACCAATCTCAGAAAACTCCCAACATGGACGTACACAAGACTAAATTCTAGCAAAGTTCTTGCTAGTATAGTATCGTTGTACCTAGTTTTCTCGTAACTTTTGGATAGTTCTGAGATCACCTCAATGTTTGCAATGCTGCAGTACTGAAGTAGTGATTAACTGTCAATTGTAGCTGGATGTTGATGAGGTGACCGTGGAGAATGCCATCGGCCGTTCGTTTGATAGTGTCATCAAGTGGCAGCTGGAACCTGTCTGGCACCAGCTGGGAGAGAAAACCAAGAACCTGGTAGCTGACATCAAGCACTTACGTAAAATTCTGTGCAGCCTGACGACATATGACTGTGTCACATTCTACAACACTGTCAATGCACTGAGGTACGATAGAGCAAGTGTAATAAGTATACGGTACTGACACAACACTGTAAATGCTAGAAGGTGGTTTTTAGCAGGGCCACACACTGACACAACATAATCAATGCACTAGCGTAGGTTAAGCAAGACTATACACAAATACACTCTGCCAATGTATTATGGTAGGGCTCGCCAACACCCCCGGCTACACAGTGACACAACACTGCCAATCCTGTATAGTAGGTTTTGTAACATTACATTGTGGATTTAATTTATTGCTCTGACAGTCCTTCCGGTAGTTCATGATATTGAATTTGATTCCACCTTCCCATTTAATTGCTCTATTTGTTTGTATTGTATGCAGCTATGTGTATACGTTTATAATGTCTGTAAACGCCAAATTGGGACAACATATTATACAAGAGTATGGATAGACTCGTGTAATACTAAGCTAATGACATATTGATAGAAATGCTAGTTAGTTATCATTCTATCCTAGCAGGTAGAAGTGTTTGTCACAGATCATACAGCGTTACAGGTGGAATAAGTTGTGTGTGTGCTGTGTGGTACGTAACATCTAGTCTTGCAATTCTCCAGGAACAACGAGCGTGCATTTGGACAGAACGCCGGGTGGTTGTTCCTTGACTCTGCAGAAAGTTTGTTTGTGCATTCCCGTCGGAGACTTTACCGCAGTGTTGCACCGAACGCAAAAAAGAAGAAAACAACAAGGGCAACAGCCACTGAGGAGGCAAAAGCAGGCGAGCATGATGCTGGTAAAGTATTATATTAAAAAATTTTAAATTTAAAATCACCAAAGATTATCTTATAGTACAGTCGGTTAGGTCAGAATATCATCTAAATCGTTCAAATTGTGAAAAAAGTGTGAAAATTGGTACACTTGCATACTTTTGTATGCTCTTTCATTTAAAAGCAGGACACACGCGATCCACCTACAACTTCGGCCGCCATCTTGAATTCAAAAATTTGCCGTCATTTCTTAAAAAATAGCTATATCTCGGTTAATAATCTTCGTACAGACTTGAAAATTGACTGACAGACGTAATTTGGGTTACTATTTCATACAACAACGTGAAATAGCTATATCTCGGTTAATAATCTTCGTACAGACTTGAAAATTGACTGACAGACGTAATTTGGGTTACTGTTTCATACAACAACGTGATGCATGTGATCCAAAAGCGTTTTCGGCCACCATCTTGAATTCAAAATGGCCGCCGTCATTTCTTAAAAAATAGCTATATCTCGGTTAATAATCTTCGTACAGACTTGAAAATTTACTGACAGACGTAATTTGGGTTACTATTTCATACAACAACGTGATGCATGTGATCCAAGAGCGTTTTTGGCCACCATCTTGGATTCAAAATGGCCACCATAAAAATTACAAACTTAGCAATTTTTTCGTTCACGGAAGATATAGAGACGTGAAAATTTGCAGACTGGCGCAGGTTAATAAGCTCTTATATTAAAACAAGACACACAAGTTCAATTATAATTACAGCGGCCATATTGAATTCAACATGGCCGCCATCACATTTTACGGGTAATGCTATCCCCCGGGCGTGGAGGGAGGTGACCGCAACGTGGCAGCACTAGTGTTGGGATAGTGTTAGGATTAGGG